TGGACTACATTGTCTGAAATAAATGATTTTTATTTTATTTTATTTTTTTAATGTAGCGTAAATTGGAATGTTTTCTTTGTAAAATTAAAAATAAGGTATTTAATTAATAACTATAGTAAGTATTTAAATATATAGTAAGGTTTAAATCCGGAAAAATAGTTTTATTACTTTTTTTTGTTACTTGTTGTTTCATATTATTGTGTGTGCCTGTGGAAAATCAATGAACGTATTCTATCTGTCTATCTAATTTATAGAATTGTTTAGAGGCCTGTTTAACATAACGCATGATGATCGCATAAATTATGTGGTTTTAAACAAACTGACCCACAAGGTAGTTAATTGTAAACATTAGGCAGTGTGAAAAATATTTAATCGGAGGTCTGCGGGCGTAGCCTCTAGGGGATCTAATAAGGAGATCGGCGATAGGCACGGCAACGAAGTTACGATTTGCAAGTTGCTCAATCTCATATCACAAAACTTTGTGCAGTTTTTTTAACCCACGTCGCCACCGCCCGCCGGCCCCAAACAGGTGCCGAGCTGAACCTAATTGTTGACATAACTAAGTTCTCAATTCGTTGAAGTCGTCCGTAATGCTAATTCTACATAAAAAAATCGCTAATTACATATGTAATTTTAGAAAAGGCCCAAATGTTGAGCGATAAGGGCCCGTTCCCATTATGTAGTGACGTTTTATTTATCGTTGGCCGATTGTCGCGTCTAGCCTGTTCCCATATCACGCCTATTCGCCGTGACTGTGTCGTGGACGTTTATTTTATCGTTGAATGACTGTTGTGTCTAGCTGTTCCCACTAGATAGTGACGACAATTTATCGGTTCGGCTGCCTTGTCGTTTGCACGACAGAATCGTTTGAAGTTGAGATTATCTGTCGTCACATTTTTATCGTGACGTTGTATTTGTCGTTCTAGCTCTTCCCATTATCGCGACAGTCTGTCGTCGTAACGTCAAAAAAGTCGTGACCGCAGTTAATCGTGTTTTACTATATGAACAACACTATTTAAATATATTTGCCGACACTTTAAACTGCACAACTACCTGTCGTCACGACATAATGCGAACGAACGCGTCCTTAGTGAGAAGTGGCACGAATAAATGACACCGGACTTGAATATTAATGACGCGCTTATTAAACATTGTATTGCAACAGTCTTTTCTATAGACAAGGCATAATCCCAGAAGTGAGATACAACGTACACGTGTGTCTCTTTTATCTCATTTACATTGAAATAATTTGTAGGCGTGCCTATCTGCTGGCTTATTTCGTTTAAAGGATGTTAATTTCTTTATCTTTTCCGTCTTTATTTATGACTGAACTGTTAAGGGCAGCGGGGGTGGCAACTTCGGGCGTCACAAGCACGTTTCTAGATGCGTGCTATTTACTTAACTCCTGATTGTGAGATGTTAACATAATTAGATGATAATTTTAAGAAGAATAACGATCAACAAAGGCACAATATTTTCAAGAGAACTCACGCTTTTAGAACAAAACCTCTATTGTAAAATTTGTGCTTGCTGAGACGACAAAAGCTCAGAAATTTTTCGTTTAGGTCTTTCATCTCCTTTTTTAAGTACCTACAGTTTTATATTATTGTACAAACGACAAACGTTAACAAATGTCTGTAAGAGTAACCCCTAAACCGTCTTACTTGGTCTTCTCAAAGTGTGATTTGGTGACCTACGAAGTAAGATACTTTGAAATTTGAAATTTTAGTATTCATAATTATAACAAAATAGGTTGGAATGTTTATTACTATGCATCTATTTCTTAGGTAGTAGGTATGTTCCAAGCTTCTCATTTTTCCCAAGTTAAGTAAAGTGATTTGGGTTATGTACTCATCATTCAAGTTATTTGCTTCCAGTACCTAAATCGTGAGTGTGCAACAATTGAAGAAATGTGGGAATGAACCAAAGTGAACAACGCGAAGGTTACGCGGCGTAACAATAAAAGAAATTTTGCGTCGTTGCGCATACGCTAGGTATAGATAGCATCCGCCACGATGGATGCTGCCGGTGGAGTTTCACCCTGCAACTAGTTTAATTATTCCTCCGCTTAAGGAAATGTGTTAAAAACTCACCGTACAGCATGGAAAACTGCCGTGCGCACGCGCATGTGTAGCCAGGCATGACACGGAATAAAACAATCTACGCAGCAGTAATATGATGTTTTGTGTCTCCGGTATCGCGATCAAGTGGAGCGCCCGCGCTGCCGTCGCTCGTCGCCCCGGCCGCGCTGCGCACTCGACGACGCACGGCCGCAGTGATCGTGCGTTGTCTTTATGAAATTGTTTATTTAAGCATTGGTTTGCAATCTGAGTGTAAGCTAGGTTATGTCAATCGAGTGAGCACCGCTCAATCATTGCTTCAGAAGCTTCAATCATTATTTGGAATCATCTCAATTTCTACAAGTACGCTCTAAACTCATAGTGTGTGGCAATAACAGGCACGCTCAGGTCTACACTTTAGATGTAAATTAAACTATATAGCACTTATTATAAGTACGGTGCAAAGTTCAAAACGTAAAGCCTTACGGAGTATGTTGTTAATGGTACACATCTTCAGTTCTTATAAGCAATGTTCAGATCATCTTCACATTATAAACAGTTGATTTTTTCAGGAACGCACTTCCTATTTCTGTTCACGAAAGTACATCATTTGCTACTTTTAAATTGAGAGTTAGGTAAGGAGCATTATTTATCTTCTGTTCCATCCAGTTTATAGGTATTATATTTTAAAATATGTATTTATCTAGTTTATAATAGTTTAATGTTAAATATTGTGTTACATAATTTTGGATTTGTGCACGTAAGCCTGTTATTACAATTATTTTGTCCTGTATTTAGGTCTGCGGGAAGAAATTTCTTATAAAAATAAGCAGTACGTTTTGTTTGTGTTTTCCTGTGCAATAAATAATATAAAAAGAGAACATTTCAAGTAACATTATTATTATGCGAACAGCGAAATAAAACATTCATAGTAAGCCCCAGAGCACAAGGATTGCAGAGTTGGCAGCGATTCCGCGCCAGAAGCGACAGACGCTGCAAAGTTAATGAACTCCGTCGCCGTCGTAGAGCAGCCGTATTAATAGATCTGCTTTTGTGGGTCATGCTCACGGCGTGTTTACTGTCCCTCTCCCGACCGCCGCATCGGTGATAATCAGTCGTGGCGGAATCCAGGCCGCAGCTGCTCACACCTTAATTTGTTTACCCACCAGATTTGGCTGAGCCTTATCATTCACTGATAACGCGCCGCTGCGCAGGCCGCTGCATGATCGCCACTCGTATCAGATTACACGCGATCTGATAAGCTCCTTTCAACAGGCATAATTTTTTATATTGTACATTTTCAAACCAATCTCTAATTACTAATTGTACATAATTAGCACATCACATTATAGCATCCTTTTGTTTATCATTTTTAACATCTTATCATCATTATTTCGGCAAATTTTCGAATTAATCGCTCATTAGATAAAACGATGTACTACAGTGCTGTAAAGATAATGAGACAATAAAAATAATATTAAAGGATATAACACACGTGCATTGAGTAATTATGACATCATTGATTTCATTCTGTGAAAAACCGGTGTGCACATCGTGGTCCCATTAATTTACAGAGTGTGAGAGAAGCTGGCGTCAATGAGCAGTGAAGAAGTAGCGAGCAATCTCCGCAGAAGCGCAAATAGGGCGAGTGTACGCGATGCAAGCGCAGTCTCGGGTACGGAAGTGTGTCGCGCGGAAGTGCTGCCGCGCCGATCGCCATGCACTGACCCCGATGTCTCGCTCCACTACCCGTCCGCGTTGCTCCAACCGCGACACCTTCGGCTCGCTTCGCAGTCGCCTGAAGAAGATCAAGCTTGGTCAGTTAGCAGGCAGCTGCCATAGACCATGCGGCTTCAAAAACATCACAGATCTGTTAATTTTACATTAGTCTTGTGCCCTTCATTGCAGCTCAGCTTGTTAAGAGGGTCGGCAGTTGAACCGTCATAACAACGGTGCTGGATGTAGACAGGGACCTACCTGAGCAGTTGTCGCAATATTCCGTCAAACGACTTCCTGAGCACCGCTCGCGCTTTTTGGGCGAGAACATTTGCTCACGACATGTATTTACAGATGAAGTCGCATATTTATTGTCACGTCTTGTATGTCTTGGTATGTATACCTACATATATCATTCAAGTATGCATTTTGAATAGATATAACGAAGGTTGCTCTCTGAAGCTGCGCCCTTAAAGCTTGTTTTAAATCTACGCGTCCTCCGCTACTTCACAAAAGAAACATTGTATGTTTTGTTCATTACGTGCTATACAATCTGTGATTGCACACTGTTTGTTACAGTCTTAATCTTCGGATCCTTGCGAGTGTCCCCATAAGCATTACAAATAAAAAAGAACTGTCAACAGTAAGTACACGAACAGTCATTATATAAAATTACTATTAAGTACTAGTAATTGGTAAGGAAGAGAGACGTGAAAAAATTGTTCAATGTGTAGACAATTCTCAAACCAAACTCGTAACCCTCGCCCGCACCAGGCGTGCCAAAAGCTGTTACTAATCGTTTTAACCAATCATTGTCGTTAGAATTCGATATACACATTTTGTCATCGTTACTCAAAGTATAAAGTTCTTTCTCGAGTTAATGTCGTTGATGAAAAATAGTCTTTTTAATTCCTTTACCAGCAGGTTACTGTTGGGCAGTGAATGTGAGCGAACATCTCTTTGGCACCGTGGCTTAGGATTTCCGATAAAACTTTTATTAATTTTATCGCACTGATTGACTTTCGCCGCACACCCACGGGAACTTGCGCCGAAGTTCGACGACATCGACAGCTGCGTTATAGGGTGTGCTGCGGTGGATGCGCCGGCGCCGGCGGACGATACCGAGCGGCAGGCGGGCGCGGGGGGCTGTCAAGGCCGCGGGCTGCGGGCGGGCTCGCGCGGCGAGGAGTGCGGTGGGCGGGCAGTGCGGCTGAGGCAGTGCGACCCGCGACCTCCCTCCGAGTGGCCGTGCGCGCGACAACAGTGGTGTGTGTACAGTTAGCTAGCCGGCTGCAGGTCGTCGACCGCACGAGACGAGCATGACCGTCCCGCTGTGTTCTCAGCTCGCCTGCCCGCTTTGACCTCTTGGTTCAGGTGAGCTCCAGCTCCACGTTGCCATCCGGGACCCGTCCCTTGGACCTAATCTCACAGAGGCTGTCCACTGTCTCCCGTTATTTAACGTCTCCGGCATTCCATCCTTACGCGGTGAGTTGCAATCTGGTGCTGCTACAATCTCCTGTTCAGTAACTGGGTTTTTTTATGTTGCGTTGTTATTTGGAGCTCGAATATCTGTCTCTGGAATTTTTTGATTGCGTAGGTGAATTTTCGATTTGTATTACGTAAGCGGTTCGTTGAAAGGTCAGTGAGTAGTAAAACAGTAAGGATATTTAACCCGAGGTTGCATCTTAAGTTATAGTACATACCTAAATTGTCCAATAGGAACATTAGTCATTTTTTTTGGTAAACCTACAAAAATGTATAAGTTTTGTATAAATGTATTAAAATGTTGTGGAAAGTTGCTTGAAAGGAGTGGCGAGTTCGCGATCAATACATAGGTACGTGTAGAGAAATAGCAACAAGTGAGAAGCGGTATTGATAAAACCATTTAATTAGCTTCGCGTGGATACCGCACCGCGGACCGCGGCTGTTAACAAATGCCGCACGACAATGCGAACAGACGGGACGACGCGAGCTGATCTCGGTTGAATAAAAACACCGTGCGCGCAATCAGAGGTCGGCTCAACGGAAAACCTGCCAAACATGAAATCACTGCAACGAACAAAAAAGGGGCAAAATTAAGTACTGTACTAGACATTTCCATTCCGCTTGAATTCTTGACGTGTTTTTTATTCGACCCCGGATGTACTTGTAAGTGTGATAACTGTACCTTGTAGGGTATTTAAGAACATGAATGGAAGATTACAATCAATTTTCATAAGAATAACTTCTCGTAGAATAATAGACTCACGTACATGATACTTATAATATGAATGAAATAAAACAATAGCCGTAGAGGAAATAAAGTGGGAAATATTTTGATTACCCACAACGATGCAGGTTCGTTACACGTCACACGTTATACAATGATTACACCCTTTTTCATCGAATGAAGTTGATCTCTCAGCCAACGTAAAGGCTGCTGGCAAGACCCGGCCGAAATCTCGAGGCCTATGTCTAGCTGCAGAGGACTACAACAGGCTGATGATGAATAGTGATATTAACACAAATAGTTATTTATCATACATAAATGTCTAGACTCATATCAGTCCTTGAAGAGTTCGGCAGAGCAATGTTTGTATTGGGCCAGGTGCGTGCCCTGGAAACTATACTTCCCGCACTCGTGACTACACCCAAAACCCGATAACTGACTTCTACCTACAGTAGTGATAATTGTACTTGAATTGTAAAATTAATATACTTGCTTACTTCGGTGGCGCAGTGATGCAAAGTGGACTCTTCTACGCCTCCCGTTACTGAACCTGCTTCTTTCAGCCACTAGCACGGAGGTCCTTGAGATCTTTCTGGACTTCATCCCTCAAGCGGTGCCTGAGAAGTCTGACCGGTCGGCGCCTTTTCGGTTGTCCCAAATAAGCCCTCTTCGCGACACGATCTTCTCTCTCATTAAATTATTATAATAAATACAATTACAATACATTAAAAAAATCTCCTTTTCTAGCGTGTACACGCGTATTTTATACGCGCCGACGACGCACATTTTTCGAAGGCGCGTTTACAGCGCCACCGCCGCCGTAGAGGCTTAACATTTTCACCGCCACTGACAAAAACTAGTTCCGTTCCCTGAACGCCAAGCCTATATAATGATGTGATGAATATGATGGTATGAATTTCCACCTTATATTAATTCTCCTAAGTCAAAGAAGAACATAACTGAATATAAAATGCAACTAGGAATCCATACTTATCTAGAATATACAAATAACACAAGGAATATCTTAATATAACGAGTATATTTATTAATTTCAACTAGTAGACCATCTTCTTTTTGGGCGATATATTTAAATCATTTCCATTTGTGCGGAAATAAAAGTTGTTGTTCGTTTGCTATAACATTTTGATTATGACAAGTTTTCATACAAGTTATTTTTATTCAGGGAGAAAAAACTTTATGACGAACAAACTTCCTAAATTTCTTATGTTTATGCCCAATTGTCGAACTCCTTGCCAAATTTTAGGATTTGAAACTAATTTCAAGTGGTCTTGAGTTCTGATTACAACAACATTCGTTTTTTACAATATTTGGGCTTCTGGGCAAAAAAGGACAAACAAAATTACACACGTGGACGGTCCCACCGAATAAGCGTGTATTATTAAAACACCTACTTAAAGTAGGTGTAAATAAAATAAATAATATACAATAATAATTTATTAACTCTGCACCTCATGGTTTCTGTCGAAAACATGTTTGACAAAAACGACGGAAATAAATTAACATGTGTTTTTGCGGCCTATTCCACTAGTCCCTACCAGCTGTCCCCCCCTGGCCGGGACAAGTGCACTTTATATTCCACTCTTCGCTACTACGCGACCGCTGGTTCATACTCAACCGTTTCTATTAATAAGTACAGTCGAGAATAAAACTATATCAAAAATTCTAAGTGTGAACTCCCGTCGAGTATATAAGCTTCTTGCTAGCAATGCGATGTTTGCACGCGTTTGAATCGATTCAAACGCGTGTTAAACGCGAAACTGACGAGCTTCGAACGCGCTCGCTTAAATATCAAGTGACGGGACGAACTAGCCGTGCGTCTGATGGTAAGCTACACGTCTGTCCATAACACTTGCAGTGCCACTCAGAGCTTCAAATCGCAAGATCTGAGGGGCACTGCCACTGCGCCCGTCCCCCTGAGTTAAAAGTTGACAAGTCCCATGTGCCTGTAATTTCACCAGCACCCTTACCCTTCAAAACCGGAACACAGTAATGCTAACATTACTGCTTGGCGGCAGAAATAGGTAATGTGGCAGTACTTCCCTGGACGAACTTTTTCTATAACTAACTTCTTACAACTATCTGCTTTTTGAGCCTAGAGGCTTGAAAAGCAGATAGTTGCCGTAGACGGCGCCGTAAACGCGCGTTCGTGGAACGTATAAAATACGCCGTGTGCATAGGCGCTCGTTCGTCACACGCGCCCTTCAATTATTATTCGAATGTGTACGTTCGTACACGGCGCACAGCGGGCGCGCTCACATACAAGGCTCGCTGCTACGTTTGTTGGAGTTACCCTACTTGTTCTTATTCTACTATGTCAAAATTGTATAATCAACCATTATAATCCTATCTTACATTTATATACGTATATACTTAGAATAATAACGCATAGAAACCTAGTCCGCACACGCTAAGTGAGGCAAATTGAAGCGCTCCCAATGGGCCTACACGAGCGGGCGGGTTGTCAGTGCTCAAGGTTAACTTGCACCGCGAACAGATCAAGAATTTTAGCTAAAAATGACGAAATGTGCGGTAAATGTGTGTAAAAATACGTCAGACAAACATAAATTAGATACTAACATCACATTCCACAAGGAAGTAACGCGTTTCAACTTGTATTTTTATATAAATATTCATTAAAACCGAAAATTAACCTATATTGTTATTATTAAAATTAACCTATATATATATTGATAACCATAATAAATTAAAACAATACCCTGCCTCTATCTATAATATATCACGTCGTCGGACATGATGAAATGCTAATAAAAATCCTGAATAAAAAAACGATTTATTTATAATTGTAAGTCAATGGATTTATTGTTGTTTTTTTGGCACTGTATTTTCCATTGGAAAAAGCAAAGGCACTAATGCGCCACACAGCCAAGACTGAGAGTAATCTCTTTCTTGTATTCCATTACAAGAATTAAATGTCTTCGATAGTGCTTCTTACATTTAAGCTTTTTGTTCTTACGAAAGAATATTAAAAAATTCTGTCCGTTTAGGAAAAGACAAAGGTTTGAAACCGTACAAGCACCATACCTTTCTACATTAGTTTTGATTATAGTGACCCTCCCTACCTACCCTTAGGACCCTATACGAGAAGGACACTATAACTTGTGCGCGCACAGGAACCTTACAAGTTCAGGTTCTGACCCCAAATCAGCCAGTGCACAGGGTTGTCACCGACCCCTGCCACTTGACTTCATCCGGTTCTTCGAGAGGCTAGTGCCTCGGGTGAGCCGCCCCGGGTGCACGTACAGTACCCTCTCTATTTTCCAGATAGATACCGGAGCTGTAGCCACGTTCACTTACCGTTGCGCATTGCACAACTAGCAGTTGCCACCGCTAAGCCGTCGACTCTGAAACCATCTTTGAAAGCATACAGCCAAGTTTTGGTAATTTTTTCTTCTATGATTTTTGGTAAATGAGCATATGCTAAGTCTTTAGTTATTATTATTCTTAATGGCGGCCACGAAGCTTGAGCCAGTTTCAGTATAATTATATAAATTATACATAAAAAGCGGCGAAGTCGCCAAAAGTCTTCAGATTCATATTGATTGTTACATGTTTCATTATTTTATCGTGACTCAGTCAAGAGATTTTATACCCTAAAATGTATTACTATCAATATTATAACTGGATATTTTTGTCGAAACTGTACTGTACACTTCAAGATTTTATTGGTAGGGATAAGTGGAAATGAAATTCCACTTATCCCAACCAGTGATCGCGTGGAAGGGAAGAGTCGAAAAAATGCACACACACACACACACACACACACCAGAAGAGACAGCTGGTCGATACTAGTGGAATAGGCCGTTTTTGCATCGTACTTGAAATATTTACTTCGAACATTTTTAAGAAAATTTAGAGTAATTGTACATACTAAACATAACTTATTCAATTGCATCACAATTAGGGTGTCAGGGAAGCACTCTCAGCACAGTGTAGAGCATACGCACATACACCGCACTGATTTTCAGCTGGTCCTCGCTGTTGTGGATAAACAGATGTACCTATAAAATACGCGCATTAAAACATAAATCAAAATTAAAAGAAATTCGTAAATAGAGTACCTAACTGTACTTGAATAACTAACTCTAGTGTGAGTCAATCACCACAACTGACATCAACACTAATC